AATTAAAGAAAGCTAAATTCCCAGGAGGAATTAAAGTTGACGATAAAACAATAAAGAGATTAATGAGAGTCTTTGATATTGATATGTCAGGATCAATTGGATTCTTTGAATTCCTTGCTTTATGGAATTTCATGAACCTTTGTAATGAAACATTTAAACACTTTGATGCTGATAAAAGTGGAAGTCTTGATGTCAATGAATTAATCAAAGCTCTTCCAATGCTTGGATTCAATTGCAATAAGAGATCAGTTGATGTCTTATTGAAAATGAACGGTTCATCATTGGGATCTAAGAAAGTTTCAAAGAACCAATTCATTAGTACTGCTGCTTATCTTGGACAATGCAGAAGTATTTACCAAAAGACTTTCAATATGAAGAGAGAAGAAATTGATAATGCTGAATTCGATAAGTTCGTTAATTTAGTTCTTGCACTTTCAGGCTAATTGCGGTATTAATTTACCTTCATTGAACTCTCATTATTTTTTCCTTTTTATTTTTTCATAAAATTTAATGTTTATTAATTACTTTTCATATTGTCTTGAATTATTTTACTTTTTTCTATCACTATTTTTGAAACTTCTTGCCAATCACTCTCAAATATTTATATTCAACAAAAGTATAGCATTTATGTTAATTCTCAAAAGAAACAAAAGTTGTGAGTAATTTTAAAATACTTTATTGCCATGAAATAAAATAATTACATGAAATGATTGAATTATTTTATTTTACTTAGAAAATAGAATAGTTCAAATGTCAAAAATAGATAAAACATATTCTCATTAAAATGAATTAATTAAAACAATGTGATGAATAATACTTGATGAGTTAATCTATAGAAATCGATTTGAGTTGAATTGGAGTTAATAGCTGTGTGTTAGTAAAAGAAATATCTTGTAGTTCATATCGTTTACACAAAAACTCAGCAAGTAAGGTTGTGATAATACAAACAACTATGTTAACTAATATCCATGACTATGAAATGAGTGTTTAATAGTAGGTCAATGATTACTTTTTAATAAACAAACTCCAGTTGGAATAAATGTCATACTGATTATTGATGTTAAGATATAATGAATGAAGAAAACAGTAAAAGAATAATCCCAACATACTTTAAATCGTTCCACAATAAATCTAATACCAATTGATCTATTTTCGTGAGAAGTTTATTTTTATTTAATCAACAAAGAATAACAAACAATGGCAAAGAGTTAAGTACATAACAAAAAAGATAAATTTTATTATTAAGAGTTAAATTTGTAAAAGAAAATAAAAATTTTAGTTTTGATTCAATAGGTAAAATAAGAACAATTACCATTAATGGAATTATAAAAATACACTGTAACAAAAACATTTGTAATAAAATATATGTGATGTTCTTAAATTCTGTTTTTACCATATAAATTTTGAGATTTGAAATTATAAGATTCAATGAAAACACAATCTTGAATTTTTGTTTTCTTTTAATTTAAACCCTTGTCATCCACTTATCTAGAAAAAGTCATTTAAAATTATGGAAAAGGAACAACTCCCTGAATTAAAATATATTAATGTTAATGACTTTAATATAAACGAAAAAGTAATAGGAATTCCTGTTCAAACAAATGAGGTAGCAAAGTATATGAAAATGTTTAAGGGGTTATGTTATAATAGAATAAAGACAAAATGTGTTATACCATATAATTCTGAAAGAATGATTTTATTAGAAACACCATTAAAAGAACAAACACAAAAATTAATTCAAGACAATCACTTAAAAACAGTTGAGACAGAAGTTCCTTTAACAATTAAAAATTTTAATGTTAATGAAATTATGAAGAGGTATATAAATAAAAATATTCAATTACCTAGTTCATTTGAAACTGTAGGAACATTAGCACATATGAATTTAAAAGAAGAACAAATGGAATTTAAATATATTATTGGAGAAGCATTTCTTATAAAGAATTATCCAAGAATTCAAACAGTAATAACGAAGACAGCAGAAATTTCAAATGAATTTAGGACATTTCCATTAGAAGTTATTGCAGGTATTCCAAATACAGAAGTTACTGTTATTTGTCATGGAGTAAAATTTGTGTTGGACTATGCACAATGTTATTGGAATACACGACTTGAAACTGAACATATTAGAATTATTAATCAAATGAAAGCAGGAGAAATTTTATGTGATGCCTTTGCTGGAGTAGGACCATTTGCTATTCCAGCCGCGCTTAAAGGAGTTAAAGTATATGCAAATGATTTAAATCCAACTGCAGTTAAATATATGAGAATTAATGCAGTAAATAATAAAACAACAATAGAGTGTGATAATATGGATGCAAGGGATTATCTTAGAAAAATTGTTCTCGAAAAACACATTCAACCAAATTACATTTTAATGAATCTTCCTGCAACAGCAATAGAGTTTCTTGATTGTATTCCAGAACTTTATTTACAACATTGTATGATTCATTGTTATGGATTTTCTCCTCTTCCAAATGCAGAAGATTTAAAGAAAAAAGCATTTGAATTATTAAAAGGAGAATATCCAATTACAATAAGAGAAGTACGTGATGTTGCACCTAAAAAGGTTATGTATTGTCTTTCGATATTTATTGAATCAACAAAACATTTAACTTCGGGTAATAATGTTCCTGAAGCCAAAAAAACATTAAATTAAAGCTTTTATTAATATTATAATTTTATATTATAATAATTTACTATTTAAAAAGAAAAAACCCATAATATTCATTTATACTTTAAAAAAAATAAATTCTTTCATTCATTGAGGTAATGACATTACTTCATTATAGAAATTTAATGTATTACCAGTTAATAATTGCCGTAATACAACACTTTGCCCATTAGTGTTAATTGGTGTTGTGCATAAAGCTGATAAATTAGTTTTAATTTCTCCATTTAAATTCTTAATTTCTGGATCTACATGTGGATATTTAATAGTTGCTAAATTAGTAGTTTTATCGTCTTTAATATCTTCATGAACAAAATCAATAATTCTTTTATTCTTTAATGTTTCAAGTACAGATTGCATTAAACAATTTAATGATTCATTGTTAACCATTAAAGTATTAAATGGTGATAAACTAAATAATTTCATCATTCCAACAACACAAACTGGTCTATTCATTTCTGCAGGTAATTGAACAATATTAGTTAATATCAATTGACCACATTCAATAGGAATATTTAAAGCTTGAATTGTAGAAGCATCACTAATATAACATATTTGTAATATAAACTTAATTAATTGATAAGTAAGTCTTCTAATTTGATGACTTGCTAATCGTTGACATATTAAAGTGATAATAGTTGGTATTTGATTTAATCTTTGTAAGGGAATACTAAAAGTAATTCCATTTAATAAAATAAAAGCGTCATCAATAAAATCAATTTGTAATAGTACTTGGAATAGTCCTAATGCTTTATTTATCATTTCATCAGTAAATACATTTGGTGATTTTTTTGCACAAGAAGTAACAAATTTAACAATTGGTGTGATCATAGAAAATCTATCACCAATTTGTAAATTAAGTATTGGCTCACATAAACTACTTACTTGTGGAAGATATAATGTAAGTATTTGGAATAAATATGCCATTACATCTATATTGTCTACTTTTAATGCCTCTCCTGTAATATTAATTAATTGTTGTTCAATTGATGGTAATCCAATACTTAATGCTGTTGACAATACTTCAAATTTCATTCCAACATAACTTCCATCTAATTTATTGTTTCTAACTTCTTTTGATGCTTCGTTAATTAATCCCATAACAAGTTCTTTAAACATATCATCCATTGGTAAATTAAGTTTACTTGCACGTTGTAATATTCTAACACCAGCTCTTAAATGATAAATTGAATGTAATTGTAATCCATTTTTTACTAATTTATTTGCCATTTCAAATGACCTTCCTAATTGATCATCGTTAATTCCATTAACTGCTCTATTATAGTTACTTGAAGTTTTTAATAATAACATTTTTTCAATTGTATTTGCTGCAAGCATTGAACTTACTAAACTAGCTCCACTAACTTGAGGGAATATTGCTATTTCATATAATTTAATAAATATTTCATTATATTCTTGATTTGTTACAGGTAAAATACTACGAAATTCATGAATAAATTTAATAACAGCAATTTGTGGTGATGAAATAAATAATGGCTTTACTGTATTATTCCAAAACTGAATTAAATCTACTCCTTCACTAATTCTTGTTGCTCCATATCTTGGTATTTCTCCTTCAACAACAAATCCAATAAATAAACGAATTGCACTATCAATATTACTTTGTTGTAATGCTTGAATTCCTCTATTAACAAATTCCATAGTATCAGGTCTAATTCTTCTAATTAAATTAAGAAGATTTCCTGCACTTTTTTTAACAGAAATAATTTCTGATTCAAGTTCTAATTTAACATATTCTTCAGGTTCTTCATTTATTTGAGTTATTTCTTCTTGATTTAATGATATATCTTTAGCAATAATATTAATTATTTGAATGAATTGATCATTATTCATAATTTTAAGTATTCCATTCATTGTACAAAGAACTTCATATCCAGCAATAATGTTTTTATCTTCTCTTTGTGAAGAATTTAAATAATCTACAACGGTTTGATAAATAATAACAGTCATAGTATCTTTAAGAAAGTCATTATCCAAATATTTAGAACAAAAAATATTATATATTTTAAATATTACTAATTGACATTTAGGTTGTTGAGTATGTGCTATTTGATCTAATTTTTTAGAAACTATTTCTATATTATTTTCTATTTCATCAACTAATTCAATTGAAACAATTCCATGAATAAATTTTAATATTGGAAGAATCATTTTATCAGTACAATTTAATTCAGTAAATAATGGTAAAATTAATGGAAATACTTGTACAATTTGTTTAATTTCTCTTACTGTTTCGTTATTAATTTCTATTGTTCTATATTTCTTTGTAACAGCTGATAATAATTGAATACAAATATACTTTTGTTCAATAGTACCACTTTGATATGTTTGTTGAATTAAATTAATCATATCTGGCCATTGTTTTGGGAAATCAATATTTGCTACAACAGCAAAACAATCAAATAATAATTTGTTAATTAATTGTGTAGAAGAAAAAATTGCTTGAAATAATAATTTTCTTATTTCTCCTCTAATATTTGAAGAATAAAAATTCTCTTCTTGATAATATTTCTTTAAAATTTGCCTTAAAAAAATTGCTGCTGTTTGTGTTTGCATCATTTGTTGTGGAGAATTTGTTGTATTCGGAATTAAAATTAATTGAAGAAGTAATGGTGTAAATTCAGGTCGTTGTATTTGAGTAATATACAAATTAGTTTCATTGCTAAGGTTATTTCCTTGTGTTGACTTTGTAACGATACTTGCTATAAATTGTTGTAATTGAAGAAGTTCACTATTCATTGAAGGTTTTAAGTTCTTTTTTGTTTTATATTTATTTCTTTTCTTCTTTTCTATCTCTCTTTTCTTTTATTTTCTGAAAAAAAGGGTTTTGAAATTGAGGTTTTAATATTGTGAATTAAAAAGATTAACATTTTCTTTAAAATATCTTTAACAAAATTAAATGTAATTCAAATGTTTTATGTAATATAAACCAATGATAGTAAATTAAATAAATTATTTAAAAAATGATACTATAATATCATTTAATGTAAAGGCAATAAACAAAATAAACTCTACTTAAACGTGTTTAACTCAATCACAACATTTTATATTGAAAAAAAGATAAAAAAACAGAAAAAAGAAGTGAATAATTATTTAAAATTATATAAAACTACACTTAATTGTAAATAATAATTAAATAATAATTTATTAGTAAAAATTAATTAATACATAAAGAATTAAAACAAAACCTAGATTTCACTAAAAATTGATTAAGATGGCTGAAGAAACTCAAGTCCAACAAGAAATTCAAGAACTTCCACAAGAATTAAAAGACATTAAAGCTGTCTTATATCAAGCAAGAGCACAAAACATTTTAACTAAAGGAATTAGACAATGCCTTAAAGTTATTGAAGCTAAGAAAGCCCTTTTCTGTTTCATTGCTGAAGACTGTGATAATGACAAATACACTGGACTTCTTACTGCTATTTGCAAAGAACAAGGAATCAAAATTGTTAAAGTCCCAGAAAAGATTCAACTTGGTGAATGGACTAATCAATGCAAAATCAGAGATGGAGTTGCTGTCAATATTGCTAAATGTTCATGTGCTGTTATTGGAAACAACATTAAATTTACTGATGAACTTAAGAGATTAAAAGCTAAGGTTGATGGTTAATTAAGTAATTTTTTTGCTTTATATAACAATTTTTTAGGAAAAAAAATCTATTTCAAAGTTTTAGTTAAACGTCATTTAGATTCTTATTTATACTTCTTAAAATCAATATTATTTAGATGAGTACTTATCGTTGGGATACAACACTAAATTCTAACGAACAAGAAGAGCTTATTAATGCATTAAACTTCATTATATGTTTATCTGATTCTCATGAACGAGTGGATGATATTCAACATTGTTTCGATACAGTGCTTAAATACTATCCAGACATCAAGAAAGAAGTATCTTCTCTAGAATTTTGTAAAAATATTAAAAATTACTTTATAGAGTACTTTGATAAAAAAATTCAAGTAATAGATGATATGCTCAATTTGATTCATGACACGTATTTTTTCTGTGGCTCTGAAAATACTATTGATATTTATAAGAATTGTCTTTCCCAACAAATCAAGACAATAAGTTTTCTAAAGAAAATACCTTCTATTCTCCAGAAATTTCAAAGAGTCACAACTAAAAGTCAGTGGTATCATTTTAAAACTTCAGCAAAAGAATTTATTAGTGAATATATGGAATCCCAAATTATTGAATTAGAAAGTAGTGACTCAGGCAAAAAATTGGTTTGCACAATTCCAAAAAAATCAAAAGAATCAAAAAAATCAAAAAAATCAAAAGAATCAAAAGAATCAAAAGAATCAAAAAAATCAAAAAAACAAAGTTTTTTGAATTGGAATAATTCCTCTAAATTAGAAAGTCAAATTTCTGAACTAAGAAAAGAAAAAGAAGAAATACAAAATCAATACAATAGCTACAAAGAAACAAGAGATCAAGAGGTCAATAACCTTAACAAGAAAAACACAACAATCATGTCTCAAATGAAAAAACATGAAGAAGAATGTTTAAAAGTTATTCAAGACTTTAAAAAAGTTTCTCATATACTTGAAGAGGAGAAACAAAAACAACTCAATGAATTTAAACAAAAACTTACGGAGATTAAAATACAAAATGAACAAGATGCTACACGTACTTATGCTGAAACAAAAGAAATACAAAAAGAAATAGAGACTTTAAAAAAAGACATTGAAATAAAAAAAAAGGAATATAATGGTTTAAGCCAACAATTGGATATATTAAAGAAACAGTTATATGATTGTCTAATGATGCAAAACATTCCTAAAGGGGTTATTTTCAAAGATAAATTGAAGACAAATACTGAATATTTTATTATTCTTGCATCAAGTCTTATTGAACATAAAATCTCTCTTCCTCGCATAAATCAATGTATGTTAGGAAGTTATTTTGAAGTTGAGCTATATCAGCTTGACCTCCAAAGTTGTAGTTTTGGTAATCAAATTACCTTTAAAGAACAAGGGTCTCAATTATCAAATGAAAAAAGATATGATGTGAGGATAGAAGTTATTGAACGTCCAGAGGATGAAAAGAAAGAAGAAGAAAATCCTGAGGATGAAAAGAAAGAAGAAAAACTAGTGGAGTGTATAGATAATTATCCAAAACATCAGTTATTTCAACAAATAGTTGAAATTCCTCTAAGCATATTTTTAACAGGAGGTACAGTAGAGGTAAGTGTAGCAAATAACAGTTTAATAGTTCCAATTCTTGTTGGAGAAAAAGAAGGTGTTTCATTAACTTATGATTCTGTTTCTACAGACAGTGATGGAAATATTATAGATGTTGTCTTAAAAACAAAATACCTTAATGACCCTCATTATCAAAGAGTGGGTGATGACTTAATTGGAGTTTTCCAATATTCACAAGAAAATGCTGGTGAAACAATCCCCATTCCTTACATTGTTGAAAGTCAGTCATTAGGAGAATTTGTTTTACAAACTGGAAAATATAGGTATCAAGGATATGGTTTTTCTTCCCCAACAGGAATAAGAGGAGATTATTGGGTACACATTAAACTTATTTAATTGAGAACTAAGTTATTTTTATACTTTTTTAATCAGCAAAAAACAAGAAAAAGAAATAAAGAAAAGATTGTTTTATGATTTATTATATCTAATCTCAAAATGAAATAATAAAAATTAAAATCAACAATGCCTTTCTGTACGAATTGTGGTCAAAGTATTTCATTTTCAGCCAAATTTTGTACTAATTGTGGGGTTTTAGTAAAATCAACTTCTTCTAATAATCTTAAAACTACTAATCCAACATCAACAATAACTAAATCTTCTACCTCATCTTCTCTAAAACCTGTTACAAGTACTAATACAACTTGTAGTACTAAACCAACTTCAAGTTCTTCAATAAGTACTAAAAAGAGTTATTTTGAAAGTAAAGATAAAGAAGTACAAAAGGAAAAGAAAGGAAAACAAGCCAAAGAAAAATCACGTATCCATTTTGTTTTTAGTAGTAGCCCTGACCCAATGACTCATAGCTTAACACCAACATCTTCAGACTTTGATTTTATACAAAGAGACCATCAAAACACTTATGAAAAACCTAAAAAACAAAAAGAAAAAGTTTGTTTTGAACAATCAAGTCAAGTAAAAAGTAGTTCATCATCATCTCCTTCATTGATTAACTTTAAAAAAAGAGGAGATGTTATTGTGTCTATTGGATCACCCAAATCATCTTCAACAAGTGGAATAAAGAAATGTAAATATTGTCATCAAAATATAAATGGAAATGAAAGTTATAAAATGATATTCGGGAATTATTATCATGACAAATGTGTTCATTGTTATAAGTGTAATCAAAGAATATATTCTACTTCAAAATATTATAATCACAAAGGAAAAATTATTTGTCATCCATGTATGTTAAATAAATTACCTAAATGTGCTCGTTGTAATAACCCAATTAAAGGAAATTATGTTGTTGTTGGGAATAAAAACTATCATCCAGAATGTGCTCCTTCTTGTTAAGTCATTTTATTTTTATTATATTTTAATTAATTTTTCATTATTTTATTATATTTTTTTATTTTGGTTGTTATATTTTATTTATAAATACTTTTGTTTATTGTCCATATTATTAAAACTCTTTTTCAGTAAAAATGTATATCATAATAATATTTCTTGTTAATTATTATTTGTCTGAATAGAGTTTTAAGAGAGTTTTGTTGAAATAATTGTTTTTAAATCACAGAACTTCAAAAAATAGAATTTTAAAACATTGACATTGACTCATTTGTTAAATTATTCAGCTACAAAAAGGAATATATTCAAAACTAAAAATAAAAGTTCTTGAAAAGAACTAAATATGAGAAAAAGGTTCAACTCAAAATAGAATTTAAAGGTCAAACTTTAAATTTCCAAATAAATAATGTCTACTTGCCCAGTATGTGGAAAAAAAGCTTATCAAATGGAGTCTATTGTTATTGAAGGAATTACTATGCACAAAAATTGTTTTAGATGTAGTGTTTGTAAGAAAACATTAAACGGTTCTAACTTTGCAAAGAATCATGGAATTTATTATTGCAAAGTCCATTTCCAACAAATGTTTAAAGAAAAAGGAAACTATGATGAAGGTTTTGGTTATACAAAACGTAGCTCTAACTGGGAAAAGAAAGAAGAAGAACATCACATTGAACCTAAGAAAGAAGAATATCACATTGAACCTAAGAAAGAAGAAGCCACTTTTTCTCCTGAAACAAAAACACTTATAGAAAATATTTTAAAACAATTAGATAAAATTGATGGAACTTGCACTAAATTAGAAAGTTGTGGAATTGTTACTCCAGTAAGCTCCAATCAAATAGACCAAATTTTTGATAGACTTGATGCTGCTCTTTGCAAATTAGAAAAGAAATAAATTCATTTCATTTTTCTCTTCAATTAACAATTTTTTCTTCTTTTTATAAGATTAACAGAAGACCTTCTCAATATTGACATTGAAAACAAAGACTAATTAATTAACAATGTTATTTTGATTCCGTAATGATAACTTCTGGTGTATTATCATTTTGTTCACTTTTTTGAGACTGATTATCTTGTTGTGGTAGTTGTTCTTTTGGCATGTCAACTACTTCTTGTGTTTGATGTAATTTTGAATTCTCTATTTGGATTGGGTTTTGAGTGAGTTGAGTTTTTAATTCGATTTCTTGTTCAGAATTTTTAGTTGATTGCTTCAAATTATGGTCATCAGATTTAATGACATTTCCTTGAGAATCAAACTTAAGATCTGCGTAAGGCTTTTGTTGTTCATCTCTTAAAGCCTTTTTGGATTTAAAGTAATCAAAGAACAAACAACCAATAATAACTCCATGAGCAGCAGCAAAAAGAGCTACAATTATTTCATATACTCCAAAATAGGTGATATAGTCTATGTTGCATTGAATAGAAGAAGGTTTTGATATAGAGTGTGTGAAATCAACTGTATTAAGAAGTTCATTATTACAAAACTTATCAGAATTAAATCCCATCACTGTGTCAGTAATGCCAACAATAAGAAGAAGAAAACTAATGGCAATGTATGCTAAGATAAAGATTATCGATATTTTTTGAACTAATACAGAACCAAATACAAATGACACTATTGAAAGGATAAAGGTAAGCATTGTAGCAAATAAATGACAAATAACTTGGTATGTCAAAGGTGGCATACAATAAAATTTATACACACCAACATCAGTAAAGTAAATAAAGTCAAGTGGACGGTTTTCTTTGAATGGATATGAGTGACATGTTCCATTAGTAGATTCAAAAGTAAGGTCCATCTACAAATAAATATTTGACTATTTTTAATTTTTGATAAAAACAAACATAAATACCATCAGTCTCTTCTGATTTGCCATATAAAATAAATTGATAAGAAAAAGCAACAAGTGACATGATTCCACAAAACGCTGTTAAAATAACAAGAAGTTTAAATGATGTTTTTTGACTTTGAACACGTCTGAAGTAATTCTTGAAATGGGGCATCAATGGTAGAAATTTAAGATTCTATTCAGTTTCTTTCTAGTTTTAGAAATTACTGACAGATAGGAAAAAAATAATCTAATAACTCGGGATAATATTGAAACTTCTGAAAAAAGGAAGTTGATTCGAAGAACTAAAAGAAAATAATTGTTTAAGAAAATTAAAAAAAAACAACAAATCAATTATTCTTTTTACCCAAAAAATAAATAAAAAAATAAAAAAAAAACAAACAGAAAAAGATGAGTAACGACAATGAAGATTATCAAAATGATGAAAAGATGTTAGAAGAATATAATAAATTAATTGAAAAGAATGGAACAGACTCAGAGTTATTTGCAAAACGAGGAATGTGCTATTACTCACTTGGTAAATATATGGAAGCATTTACTGATGGAGTTACTTCAGCACGACTAAACCCTAATGTGACTGATGGATTAAAACCAATTGCATTGTCATTAATTAAAATGGAAAAGTATCAAGAAGCAAGAAGAGTAATTGAAAAAGCAATGTCAATGGAAGAAACGAATGATTATTGGAAAAAATTACATTTAGAAGTATTAGAAAAAGATACAATTCAATTTGATCCAATGCATGTTTTTGATAATTGGGAAGAAAAATTAATGTCAAATGAACGTACAAAGAAGTATTTAAAAGATGAAAGTTTCAAAGAATATTTAAGTGATTATGTAAATAATCCAATGTTATTTAAAAGTGGTGTAAAAGATCCAAAAATTTCAGAATGTTTAATGGTATTAATGGGTGTTGATATGAATCAATTTTTAAATGCACAAAATACTAAGTCCTTATGGAGTGAAGCGATTACAAAGGAAAAACAAAGAGAATTAAAAAAAGAAATGGATGAAAAAGGAATAGATGTTAATAATGATAAGAACGAATCATCTCAAGAAGTAAAAGATTTTCTTAAGAGCGTTACTCCGAAAAAATCAAAACCATTTATTCCACCAAAAAATAATGAAGAACGTATTATTGAAGCAGAAAAAGAAAAAGAAAAAGGAAATGAGTATTATAAACAAAAGATGTTTCAAGAAGCAATTGAATGTTATAACCGTGCAATGATGTTAGACAAAACAAATATAATATATCAATTAAATAAATCAGCTGTTTATTATGAAATGAAACAATGGAGATTTGTAATTCAAATTTGTAGTAATTTAATTAATAAAATTACTGATCAAAAAAGACATGGAAGAATTGCTTTTAGATTAGCAAATGCATATCTCGAAGTAAAAGAATTAGAAAATGCTGAGAAATATTTTGACATTGCAATAAAAGATGGAATAAATGAAGCTAAAACAAAATATGAAGAAGTCAAAGAATTAATTGAACAAGAGCAAGAAAGAAAAATACTTAAAGGACCAACAATGAATTCAGATATTGAAAGATATTTAATGCATGATGAAGTTCGTGAAATTATTAGACTAATTAATGAAAATCCAAACAATTTAAAAAAATTAAGAAAAGACCCCAAATATCGACAGTATATAGAAAAAATGATTCAATTAGGAATATTACAGTCACAAACATAAAATTACTTCTTTTTTTATTCTCTTTTATTATTTTATTTATTATTATACTACTTTTTATAATAAAAATAATAAAAATTCAATTATAATAAATAAATAAAAACTATGCAACGTTTTCATTTACAATATACTTATCTAAGGTCTTCACTTACAATACCAAAAATATGAAAGGTGTCTAAATAATCTACTAACCTATCTAATGTTAATTGTTCAGGTGGAATAATTTTTCCTATTGCCATTACTATTTGATCATTAATTTCATAATCAACACCTTTTTTACTAAAATCATGTGGTACTTTATTTTTAAATTCTTCATGAGTAAATACATTAAGTTTATTATATTCATTGGCTAATTCTTTTGCTTGAGTTTTTGACATTAAAGAATCTTCAGGATTTTGTTCATTAATAGTTTTTTGTAAATCTCTTAATTCATCAGATAATCGGACATGTTCTAAGTAATTTTCATATTCCTTTAAATCATCGTCTGAGATAAAGTCAAAATCATCATCAGAAAATGAACCTGTATCATCTTCACCAAAATCAATTTCATATTTATTTTGCATAATCTCTTTTACGAGATCTACCATAGCTTCTCTATCACATGGATAAGCGTATTTAATTTGATCAAGATATTCTTGTGGAGTACTTAGAGGTAATGATTTAACCAATTCATTATATTGCTCTATGTTAATTGGTGATTTTGACTTTGGAATAAATGACTCGACATCTAAATCAAAAGAGTTTTGATGTGCACTCATCTTTATTTATTATTTTTAGTTGGTATTAAAAATTTCTTTTTTTTTTATTATTCATTTTCAAAAAATAATTATGATTATCTCCATATTGAAGATTGAAATGTGATAAATAACAAAAATTATTTAGTTTTTACGTTTTTTACAATGAAACCAAAACCTTTGATTCTTACTTCCATCATAAGGTTCTAATATAAGTGAAGAGTCATCACAATATACACCTTCTTCAACAGTAATACATCTATTTGAATATTTTTTATTGTAAATTATACTACCTTCTCTATTATTTTCTTCTACAATCCAAAGTTCATCTTCTGTTAGTGCCTTTTCCTTTTGTACAATTTCTAATCTTCCACTCCCATCATTGTGAACAGACAGTACTTTTCCGGTTTGACTATTAATTATTCTACCATCTATTAATAAAAATAGTTGACTTTTCCTTCTCATACTTGAGATTATTAATTCATTATCTTCTCCTATATCAACTACATATTGTTTACAACCTGCAGACTTTATTTGATAAACAGGTGGTTTTTTATTCATGAGAAATAGAAATTATAAATATATAGAGACAACCAAACCCTTTCTAGATATTTTATGTTCAACAAAAAAAATAAAAACAATTAAAGATTCAAGAAAAAAAAAATAAGTTGGTTATAAGACTTAAAAGAGATAAAAACAGTCATTTATAAAAACATGAAATAATCATCATTATCATGGTTGTCTTCATCGTCATAATCAGACTCATCGAAAGAAGAATCTAAACCTAATTGTTTATCAAATTGAACAGATTTACAAAGTCGTTGATTCGTAAAATCTTCGACTAAATCATGCTCCATACAATAACTATCATCATAAACAGGAGCTGATAGAATATGTGAGACTGGATTATAGTCTCGTGGTGGGACAATGACTTTATGAATATCATCATCTTCCTTCATTTTTAAATGTTTAACAATTGGCTCATTTGGAGTTACCAATTCATCTTCATGAGAGAAATAATTTTCTTCTTCATCGAAACAATAATCATCATCACAACCTTGAATAATATAATCTCTATTTTGTGAATATTAAATTAAATGAAAATACCTAATATAAACCATAAATTTACTGCAGAATTACTGCACACTGCTCAATTTAAAAAAAAAGATATGATAAAAGGTCTTTTTCTATAGAAAGAGTCCTTTTGTTATATCCTCTTTACCTAAAAGTAATCGTGTATTAAAAAGAAAAACATCAAATTACTTTCTTTAGAATCAAGTGCACTATTCTAAACTTTAAATAGTTAATCGAATAGTGTTTGATAATTTTAATATTTATTTACAAACGTTGTATCAAAAAATATATGTTGAGCAGATGGCTTGACTACGTTCATGAAAGAAGTGATATTTAAAATGACTTCCAAAATCTTTAAATAAAAAGAAGAGTTTAGAATTGGAAGGTTCCAAGGGTTTGAATGGATTTTTAATGTATCAAAGTTTAATTTATTTAGTTAAATATTCTAATTAATCTATTTTTCTTCATCGTCATTTTTTTTATTTTTAATACTTTAAAACCCTGATTTTTTGGCTTTTTCTATTTATATTAAATGTAGCCACGTCATCTAATTACGAGAAAGGATTTTCCATTGACGTTTGCATCTGTTTTTTAATAGAAACTCAGTTATTCATTTTTTTTACTTTTTTAGTATAAACGATTTATAAAAATACCAAATGAAATTATAAATATGTTATATATAACATCAATAAAAAAAATTTATTCAATTTTAAATAACAAAAACAAACTATTGGTATTTATTATTTTTGTAAAGACTAAAAGTATTTAGTTATTTCTATGAGTTTTAAGTCATGAAGAATCTTGGATGGTACTTCATTTTTTTTAGAAGAGTCAGACTCATTTGTAAATGTTACCTCAGAACATTTTAACAGAATAAGAGGTAAATGAAAAGTATAAAATGTGTTTATTTATATCTAATTTTCCAAATAATTGAAAAATGAATAAATACCAATTTGTTCAATATTTTTTATTTTGACACAGATAAGTCTTTAAGAAGAATAATATTAATGACTTTTATGTTAGACATAATGGGAACTTAGAATAAGTATCAAAATAAAGAGTATTATAGAGGATAATGGTTGTATTTTATTCTGTGATAATGTTCTTGATTATACCTTTTTAATTCCTCTAATAACTGTTTTTGTTTCTTTGTATTAGTACAGAACTTGTTGACCATGTATTATTTTATCAAATAAAGTTTCTTTTTTTTGTTTTATAGTTCATTCTCTTTACTTTAAAAAAGAGTATTATTTCTCAAATAATTTATTGAGGTTTATTTATAACTCAGTTTTGAGTTATTTCAATAAAATAAAAAAGAAGGGTGAATAAAAATAATTAACTAACAAGAAAGCATGAAAATAGTATTATACATAATAATGTTACCATTATTATATTTTTAATACTATTAATTTAGAAATTGGTTTTAAAAAATTTCAAGAAAATACAGAATAATTTAATTATAATCTAATTCCATTGAATCAATAATATTAAAATATTTCATATACATTATAGGAAGAATGAAACATTTGATGATGGAAGAATAATTCAACAACCACTATGTTATAACTTAGTTATTCAAGACAGTTAAAAGGAATAACCACAGTAAATATTATTAACGTCATAAGTACAGAATCAAATAGAAACAATAAAGACAACAAATGACTAAAAACTAATTCAGTAGTGATGTTTTTTATTACTTTTAAAGTTAAAAGAGCAACATTTGATCAATTGTTATAAATTTAAGTTAAATATTTTCATTTTTATATTCATTTAACACTATTTCTAATTGTAATCATATGTAAGATTTAGTGTTAAAATTTTTTTCATTCTCAATTATTTCTTTTTTTTTTTATGTTAAAATAATTTCAAAGACATACATGTATTAACTCTGAATTTATTATGATATTTTCTTTTATTTATTTGAAGAGATAATGTATTTTTGAAAAAGAGCTTTTTATTATTTTAGCCAGAAAAAAAATATTGGAGGTTTATTTAACTAAATGTTGTAATAATAAAATACATATGCTCTGATTAGTATTTTTTTCTTCATATTGT